TATGTGGCAAGACATTATTGCTATGGAAAACTTAATATTATTATGCAAATCGTTTATTTCAATCATCAAAGCTTTTCCAGCCAGTGAATTTTGGCTTCAAAATAAAAAACTGCTGGACAATGAACGGGTCAAAAGCATGATTTTTCAATTATCCTGACATAGTTTACAACAGTATTTTCACTCGTAATTCTTATAACATCATTATGATTAATAATAATAATAATTAATAATAATAATAATTATTATTACTAATAATTAATAATAATAATAATAATAATAATAATAATAATAATAATAATAATAATAATAATAAATGCCTCTGATAGTTTCATTTTTTCAAAAAATCGATGTTTCATTTTTTGCTATTTTTATCTTAAAATGAATTCAAAGTCCAAAATGAAATTTCATGGATTTGAACGAGCGAGTGTATTGGTAAAAAAATTTAGAAGAAAAAGAGAAGGAAAAATACGAAGAAAATGCAGAAAATAATTAAATGGAAATAAAACTTCAAGTGAAAGAGTATTCGTGTAATGAGATGAAAATATTCCTTGGAAAGAAAAGGACTTATTTTCATTTTCTTTTTCAGAGGTACGAAATAATAATATTTTCGTTTTCTAGTTTATTTCGTTTCACGTGATTATTTTCCATCACAAATATTATCATTAATCTGTTGTGGCGCTTTTTTTCAGGCAGAATAAGATAGAAACTATTTTCCATCAATGTTGATTTTTCATATTGCAATTGCAATTAATTCAAATGAAAGTAAGAAGGAAAGTCATTAGAAGAATATTTGATATCAAATATTAATTAATTTTGTGCCGGTAGTATTACCAATATATGAGGGAAAATAAATGGAGATGAATATTAAAAAACAAAATCATTTAAATTCATTGGAATACGTCTCACATACTTCCATAGTACCATGCATTTGTTTAGTTATACACTTAAAAATTTTGGTAAAAACTGCTATTTCAATATTAGAAATACATATTAACAGAAAATATTAGATATATGAAACACAATTGAAGTTATTTGATTTCTGATTGAATGGTAGCTTTTATCAGATACAATGAATGGTCAGATTATAAGTCTTACATATAGCAAATTTTCACCCGAGCCATTTAATTACTCAGCAATTCAATCACTTTGCTATTGGTTTCAATCTAACTGAATCATAGCATCTATCAAATACAATAAATGGTCAGATTATGAATCTTGGATGCAGACAATTTCCAATTAATTTGTATAGAAATCAAATAATTCCTTGCAATATAAATGATCAAAAAAAAACTTCAGTGAAAACATTTTTTAAAACATTCTATTAACAAGAAAATGGAAAGGATAAAGAATTACAGTGCCCTTCAAAGAATTAATTCGCTAGTCGATTGGATGATAAAAAAATTAAAGAACACAAGAAAATAAAAAACATGTCGCACTTATATCAATTACTGGTCTTTGATTTCACTTCAGATTATGCCGATAAGAAATTATGATTTCGATTTGGTTTGCATTGGTAACTTATCGATTTCCACTCAGCTGACTTTGATAAGTTATCAATTTCAGCTCACATTTCCGATTCTACTTATTGCTTGCATAATATTTAAAATTCAATGATTACGAACTGATAATTTGGTTACCATCTTTCATTAATAATACAATACAATTATCAACATCATTATAATTCATTCTGTCGACATAGCAAACCAATCACGATTTTTGATTGGTTTGATTTTTGTCCATGACACTAATTTAGATAATATTCATTTTCAGTCCGTTATATTTATTACAACGTTGTCCTATCCTGAAACCATACCTTGTAATTACGACAAATAGCACAGTGAGATATGCTAAAAAAATGTTTGCAAAAATCTCTGACAATAAAGCTTAACTGGACCTAATCAGTCCCAAACTTGATTTATCATTAGTCACAGAGCAACAAGTTGTTAGATTTTAGCAATTTATTTAAGTTAAGTACTTTTCCTCCCTCTTCCTATCATCGTTTTCAATCTTTCGGAATATTTTGTTGTATTTATTTCTTTTATTCGTGAACATCAATTCTCGTAGTATCGCTAATTCCTTTCCTTAATTTTTCTAACAATATTTAATCGAAATACCTGTTCAACCATTCGTACATCTATGCAGTTCATCACTTTCTGAACTTTGATATTAACTTATTAATAATCCTGCACTTTACTCCGTCATTACTCTTCATGTATCAGTACTTCCTTATCATCTCATGGATTGCCAACTTTTGTTAAAATCTGATTCATGCATTTTCTTCTCCATCACTTTCCATATTACTGATATCTAATATTCGAAAAAATTCAGTGATATCAAACTGATTGGTTAATTGGATGTGATAGGAAACAACTAAGTTTAATCTGAACGAGTTTGTAGTATATGATTAATATCTGTTCTAATTCTAAAAGGTTAATCACGGGACTAGGATATGTTAGGGAATTGACGTGAACTGAAATTTATCAATTAAGATCCTTGGTAAATCATTCATCAATCAATAATCGGTTAATCCAATAACCAATAATCGATTGAAAATAAACGAACCTGTGTATTTAATAGGAAATATTCAGAAAAGAAACAAGAATGATAACAATTTATTAGAAATAACTTATTTGGTGGAATTGGAAGCTAATTTGAAAGAGAGCGAGATCCTAAAATACAGTGATAAAGTTTTGCCATAATAAATTGAAATTTCAATTCAAGGTTAACTAAATCATACGGGAATTATTCCGAATACTTCCCTGATATCCACAAATCACGAAAATTCCCTTATTATAAATGTCAAGCGAACATTTCAATTCATAAAAAAAACAAAAAAAAGGGAAAACAGGTATGCCTCATCACTCAAGTATGCAATTAAACCACATCAGAATTGGGATATCCTTATTCGATAACAAACAGATGAAGACGAATGAACTGTTTTGGAGTGCTTTCTTCCAAATTTCACAAGAAAACCCAAGCATTCCACGGAAACTTATGGATATACGGAAATTATTCCGAATACTTGTCTGACATCCTCGCACCGCGAAAATTCGCAAATAAGAAACAAAAATGCATTCTCTTCCGGAATATATCACTTCATGTCAACAGATCCAGCACCAATTAAACGAATTTTCAAACCGGTGTCCTTAGCGTAATCCGTCTAGATCGACTCTTTTTTAATGAAAAACTCACTCCAAGACAAAAAAAACTATTTACACTGATTTCTTTATTGCTAGCATTATTTCTCTCACTTGTCATATAAAAAGTTTAATTAATCCCCCTTCCTAGCAACATTCCGATATTTTGGGTCCATAATGAACCCCTTAAAGCATGCATGGTTTGGTGGGAAAGCCTGATGCAACTGTTGGCATATAATACTCTACCCCATCGCTCATAATAATGGAAAGATTTGCTTAGTACAACTTTCATGGCAGATTAGTACAATCAATTCAGTTCCGTGAATAATAAAACAAATAACAAACAAAAACTCTTATTTCCATGTCAAACGAATAGTTTATAAAAAAACAGCCGTGCCTCATCATTCAAGCATAAGTCAATCAAATCATATCAGAATTCGGATATCCTTATTCGATAACGAATGGATGAAGATGAATGGACTGTTATGGAATGCTTCCTTCCAGATTTCACAAGGAAACTTATGGATTCTACGAAAGTCAAAAGCTGCTGAGTAAAAATAAATATATGAAATATATCAACTCACCATTTAGCAAAGCATTATGGGTGGGTTCTCTGAAAATTAACATCAGTACTCAAGAAATAAGGAGCATCTTTAACGCTAATTTAGAAAATATTATTGCAATAAACTGTAACTATAAAGTATTTGTTATGAACAGTATAATTACAAAAACCATATGGAAGGAAACTAAATTAAAAGTCACACTGCACCACTTTCTACATTATAAAGTCCTATTTAATCAAAACCTTTGCTGTTTTTTAATTGACAACTCATGAATTATTTTAACCTACATAATAGTTCATCCAAATACCTCATTGATATTTAACACAATCGCTTCGATATTTGGTTAAATTGGAGAATAAAATTCGTTTTTAGTTATCACTTCAAAAGAAAACGATGACAGGAATAGAATATATTTCCAACAAAATAATCATATAACTACAGAGATGCGTCTCGTAACTCTCGTAATCGTCTCGATCTCGTAATCGTACTATTCACCCTTTCTAATATAAAAATATGCAACACATTCGCTTACTTGTTTACACCCTCTTTTTCCTCCAGATATGGAAATTGCAAAACCTCGCCATATTTTTAACCAAATATCAAGTGGATGGAAAAAAATGAACGGGTAAAAATATTAACAGTAATTAAACACAACATAATCCACCCATTCTTCCGAATGAAATGAGAAAAAATGGAATATCCTATAATCAAACACCTTCACTTTGCATGAGGGAGTATCAAAAAAGTGAAGAAGCAAATGCTAAAATAAACAAAAATAAGAGTTAGTACCAAGAATATGAAAACAAAGTAGCAATGAAAATTTGAATAAATACGGTGGTTCTTAAATGCGTGAGAATCAATCAAAATGCAGAAGCAAAGGAGCGATACCACCACCACAAAATTCGACTATCAAATATCTTGTAAAGTGATACGACATTAAGAAGCGATATAATTGGAGTGATGACAAATTTCCCCAGAAACTTGAGCCAAGTTAAGAAAAAAGTATGGTTATAGCTAAGGCCAAACATAAAATATTTTCACTGCAGCATGATTTCGACATATGGCATTATGAAATTATCTCGAAAAGGCCATATACGTCTCTAGGATATCAATTTGGGACGGGTAAAAGTGCAGCGTGTGTATTGCAAACATTTTTTAGTTTCATTTTTAGGATGCATAAAAACTAAAAACCAATGAACTTCTCAATGAACACTATCAAAACGTAAGAGAAGTGAAAAACAACGAATACAATTTTTCGTTTCAAAATTTTCCAAATAGATTTCGATTGACCAACGATTTCTCACGGTTTGTCACTGCTGTCTACCAACTCGACAACCATTACACCATCGGTTCGTTTACGAAGAAACTTCAATTTGAAAAATGGTTTTTCGCATGAAACTGCACTCATAAAATGCAAAATGTCATTATCCGCACTGATATCAAGGCCTATATCGATATCATTTACATCTAACAGTATGCAAGGAATTCCCACGGCTGGATGCATCCTTGTTATTCCCGGCTGAAATTTAAAAAAATTTTATAACAAAGACCGAAGTTACCCTTAAATACTACTTTTTCCGAACTCATTCCACCGATATCACATTAAATTTTCTATGATGTGAGAAATTGAAGAGTTATTAATTTGATAAATTTAACAAATTAGTACGAATCTACTCTGCGACTAGGAAAGAATTTATGCCCAATTGTAGATCTCAACATTTCTGATAGCGAAACTTAAAATTATAATTGTTAGTAATGGTTTTAAGCGATATTTAAATAATGGTCATTGGTGAAATAATATGGTCTGTTTAGAGCAGTGGCTCCCAGCCTTTTCTTAACCATAGCCCGTTTTATTTGTAGCAGAGACTACAAGGTTTCAAAACAATAAACTCTGCTAATTTGAAAATGAACTTCTGTTAAAACTTTTAATTACTACTTTATTAAACATTAATAAGAACAGCCCTCGCCTGTTTTCTATTTACCACGCCGCCATCCTCGCGGACCGTATATTAGCATCGCCGGCCACCGGCTGGGAACCACTAATTTAGAGCTATAAACCTAAAAACTGATTCCAGCTTTCCGCGGAAGATTTCTTGTCAAGCGATCGTACTTCATTCTGAGAGAATGGCTTTCACAGAGAGAATGACTGTCATGAAACATATGACACAAAATACGTTTGAGCAACAGAATAAAATTCTTCAAATCTTATTAATTTCGAATGAAAGATAATTTATACTGTAGATGAAAACTAAGCAACGGTAGAACAAAATGATGCAAAAAAAAATGAAAATTGTTGAAATCCAAAACACTGAACATCTATCTACTTGCATTATTTTATAAACATCACAATTATACTAACCAGCTCACTGATAGAGTGAAGATCGTTATAAGTAACTCTTTCATAATTACCGTAATCAATATAATGCACTTCCACATCCGTATGGTATACTGCTGTAATCACTGCACGAAACATTGCTTGAAATGCGTGACAGTATGAAACGCAAAGAGTGCCGAGTTTCTAAACAGTCAAAGTTTGATAGATGAATTTTGCACTATAGAAAGATGTTGGTTAGAAATGAAAGTTAAATGAAGCACTGAAAAGTTTTGTCCACTCAGGAATCTTATTCTTTCTTACGTCTACTATTTCTATACATCCCAATAAGGAAGTGGATCTCCACTGAGATGTTAAAGAAGAAAAAAAACCTTCGAATTAAATCACATCGCCAGGAATGTGATCGATACCATCACATTCCTGTGTAGATTATGAGATATTTAAGCGTCAGATAATATTAAAAAGAAACGAACAATATCTTCCTTTGGTAACGGTTCAATAGCTGTTAAGCAATCCAAATATTGATCAATAATATCTAACAGCCTATCATCTTGAATCTGCACAAAAAAAAGTGGCCAATTTTGATTTGACCAATCATCATCGCTTCTCTTCACAGTATATACTGTCTGTTCTACCACTTCTATATATGGCACATAGGACTGCAAAAATAGGGTAATTGCAAAAAGCTCCACAAATATTCTTTTCTATTCATGTGCAATGCTCACAATAAAGTAAGGTTGTTTGTTTGGTCATACTAATAGTATTAGTAACAGTAGGAACAGTAGGAACAGATAATAAGTGTCTGTAATAACAGATAATAAGTGTCTGCATAATGTAATAAGATGCAATTCAATTTCGTCATGCCTTAAATTATTGATTTTCCATCTAATGCTCAGATCCTTCCATTCTCATAATCTTCCCTAAGTAACGAAATGAAATAAAAAATCATAACAAGAAAAAGATTCTCAAAAAATAAAGTTTTCAAAAAACTACCTTATATTTCAGGGTCTCCATAGAACGGCCATTGTTCAAAATGATTGTTGACAAATTAGCAGTCTCAGGATTAGCCATGTTTCGATCATCTTCACCCTAAAATGAAACTTCCATCGTAACTGAGTACAGCCTCACAGCGGGTGATGATTAGCATCTCACAGCAAATGGAGTGGTAATAAGCTCTGCCTCCATTCAGAAAATCCACTGATCCAGCAACAGCGCATGATTGTATGTGGATTTATTTATGGTCAGTCTCTTAAAAAGGCTTTTAAGATGCCAACTGTTAAGCTGTTTAGTCAATTCGCCAAATAAAAATGTCAGCAACATTCTGTTCATCATTCTATTTTCCATTGAATATCATATTTTCGAATATCGAAAGATAGTATTCCATATTTCAGAGAAAAAGGTTGGAAATGTAAACAGATAATAAAAAGAATTCCAAAGGGATAACTGTGGTCGGCGTATAACAATTAAAACCAGTAGAAATTTAGACAACACCAGTTGCACGAGTATTTAAATAGTCATAATGATAAGTCCTGATTAAGGAATTTAACTAGAACCAGTAAAAATTCAGGGTTACCTCGCCTCTTACTACTCCCGATACACCACAAACTGTAGCAGCTGTAAAATGCGAGATTGCTGGTGCGTACTGCCGTTCCCCTTCGTGCATCAGGTAACCATTTCTATCTCGCGAACGATGCACGTATAATGCTTTCTGAAAAAAGACTACAACAACTTTGATATCAATTAAACATTCAGAAACACCTCAAATCAATACTTAGAACCTGGATTTCTATAACCAGAAGTTGGAATTAAAGCAAAACTTATCGCAGCCTCATCGTTTCTCGCCAAGAGTTATTAATAAGAGAATTTGAACTCAGCCATATCTTATTGCTCTACCAAGGTCGTAATCAAATCTTTTTTGATAATTTTACACTTCAATGTTCAGGATGCTATCATAGCATAGAATCAAAGTTTATTTTTGAATTATACCTCCTGTGCTTCACAGAATGAAAAAGGTTCTGTTGAAAGATAGCCACCGCCACCAGCATTTAATCGATCATTGCTTTCTGATCCTCGTTCAATATGTCGGACAGCGCATCTCGTACCGACTAAGACCAAAAAGAGATGAGTAAGCGGAAATAATTCTGGCAATCACTTTTTACAAACGAATTCTCTTTGACAAACAATTCTCTTTGGTCGCGCTCTTTGATTAATTCTGTCTTACATGATTTTCTAACTTACTCATTATTTGGTAAAATACAATGAACTAATCTTACAGAGAATTCAGTTCTTCATCTTACGTAGTTATTTTTTTTTTTTTGCTAAATGTCTTATACACATTGCACTAGAAATTAAAAAAGAGCGTATGGGAAATGTAATGCTTAATATAATGTGAAGTAACTTCCAGCATTTTGCCTGAATCATTCAGCATCAAACAGTAGCAAATGCACAGTGAAGGAACACTGTTCATATATAACACTTTTTTCAATTTTTCCAGAGGTGCTTTTCATACAGTTAAAATGTTTCGGCAATTTTACAAAAAATGTACGTCGTGTTGATATGAAAAAAATAATTAACCATTTTCAAGCTGGTGATATTGCTTCGTTGGTGCCTGCTGTTGTATATCAGCTGAAGCTCCCATTCCAGCTATACTATAACACTCGTTCAGAACATGAATCGGTGGTTCACCATATTGCGTTTTACGCAGGGGACCTGGCATGTATTCTGCATAACATTACAGTTAACCAGATAGCAGTGATGGTATTATTAGCATGAATTTACTCCATAGATTTAAGAGGAAAATCAAGCAGTTTCATGTATTGATAATGGCACAATTCCAAAAGCTATGATTTTATCTCCCCTAAATAGATCGGCAATTGAACTCTTGCAGGAATAATTATTTAATCACAGACCCTCGTGACAGAACTAACTATAGAATGAGGGCAAACAGAAGAATAGGGGACAGAAAGAGCAAAACAAAACGCAAAATGCAAAACAGGTATGAGCATACCAAAGTATACACAAGATAACATTAAATATTTCTATTTGTTTCCGTTTCACCTTTTCTGTCACTTTTAAATATTTCTTCATTTCAAAATTAAGTAATGAATACCCAAGATCAAATCTATCTTTCATTCAATCTTATTGGATGAAAAATGAAATGATGCAAATATACCTCGTTGTTGCAAGTTATTGTTCGAATCTCCACTAGTTATTGTTGGTATTATTAGCATTTCGCTATCATTAGGTCGGAAACGACAAATTCTTGCACTGCGCTAAAATAATAAAAAAAGAAGTAGAGCTCAATAAAGCGACAAAAAACTGAATTAGATAAAGGAAAAGAGGAAAAATAAAAAACTCAGAACCGAAGCTAAAGTTGAGGTTGGTGATGATGGTCGTATGCTTTCCGGAACTGTGATCAGCGGTACTGAACCATTGTATGTTTCAAAAAAATCACCAACACTAGGACGCATTGAGCTGGGATTCATTATCTGGGTTGAAGCAGAAGTAGGTATATTCAACCTTTCCTGCTGATTTTGATATCTAAAGGAAATACAAATAACCTATCGCTTGGCAGAGAAGCTCGATGCTCGATTGATATTTTCCAAAGATTTCCTATTCTTTTTGTTGTACTTTCAAACATCCACGACAAACCCAAAACTTATCCTATCTGTAACATTAATTGGTCTACATAATATTTGCTTACCCTTACATTTATAACCGCAACTTTTTTCTAGTTCTGAACTAGTTCTGATGTTAAATGTCAGACGAGGCTTGGTCGTACACTTCTCAATAAAAAGTGTTTATGAAATAAACTAACACTGGAGGTAGCTGCTGAACCATCACAGGATCCAACGATAAATTGTTCGGTAAAGTTGCAGACAATGACGGATTTCTTCCCAGAGCCTGTGCCCAGGACTGATATGTCGGGAATGAAGAGCATGGATTCCAATTCGTATTAGGAGTTTGGCCACTTTGAGCATGTATTGGTAGAGATGTAAGATTTGGAAATGAACTGCAAGTACCCTGAAATAAAAAGCACAAAAGGTTTTGGGAAGTTTTGGAAAAAAAAAGACTGGAAACGAAAAGCTTTGGAAAGCACAGCAACTATAGTGGGCTAATCCAAGCCTGGCCTGGAAAAAATACTCTTTATATGAGATAACTACACAAAATAGTAACTTACAGCTACAGCAGATGTAAGGGGCATTGATATTGTGTCCAGTCTTTTCAAAATAGTAGCAAACTGCAACTGCAGAGTTTGTAATGTCCAGTCCTGCTCAAATTTCGACCTAAAAACTGTTCTCATCCATCAACACTCAGATTCGGAGACACTCGCTTAGACATCCTATTCGACATCTCATCGAGTACATCGGTATCAATAACTAATATTATCGGAGGTAATATAAAGAGTTATATATCCCTTGGAGTTTATCAAATAATTATAAGATGGAACGTGTAGAATTTGCCCAATGATTGATGGTCTAACCCTTAAAAGGAATAAGCAAAACGAACCGACCAAATGAAACTCTCACTATGTTGCCACTTTTATTTACGGACCTAATACCAACGATAATACACTGTTTGAAATCATTCCCATAAAAGGCCGACAAGCATGTTTGCTTAACTATAAATAAATTTTGGCTCTGGCAAAAGACAACACCATCTCATTATCATAGATAATTATAAAGCAATAGAGACATGTGGATATAATTGTGATTTCGGCATTAGACAGAAATAGACTACTTTTTCATCTCAAACAATTTCCTTTCAACTTGCAATCGTTCGTTTTTTTCTCTCAATTTTTCTTTTGAAATTTGAATCGATTGTTCAATCGAGGGTACGACCATATTGGTACCCTTAACTTTCACATAATCACAATAGATATCTTCCATATTAGCAGCAGCAGCACAAGTCTTCTGCGTTGCTGAAGGTTGCGCTTCCTCCACAATCTTTCCCCAATAAATGCCATCAACAGCAAATGTTGCTATGCATACAACGTACTCCTTCTCGACTTCCAACTTAAATCATGCCAAAAATTCAGATAATACGCAATAACACATTTACCACTGTATTTAATGGTACAATTTAAAACAACTATAAAAAGAACTAACGTTTTGTAAGTTTCGATTTTGTTCTTTGATCCCAAACTTGAATGCTGCTACTGGCATTTTCAGTACATCCGATGGCTGAAGCATAAGTCTTATCGGAGTTATTTGTAAGTTATACATACAAATATAATTACCTTCAAATAAATTATATAGAATTGGGGAAATATATGAAACATTTTGATGGTATGATAATGTCCATTCGTTACAAGCTATCTTTCTTTATTCCCTCTTCCATAACTTAGTTCTAGAGCAACATCTCCATCAGATAACAGGTAGACTATGAATAAAATATAACGAGTATCATTTTATTCTCAAAACTGCTAACCTGCCCACAAAGATCGTATATTGCAAAAGAATCGCAAACAACGTGTTGTCCATAATCGACAAGGAAAGCTGAACACGTCCCATCTTCCGTATTGAATTGACTGGCCAAAGCTCTGAAAAAAGCCTTCATGGATTTATATCTCTTTTATTTATTTAAAATTATTGGTACAACGAATTATGAAATAGAAATAGAATAGTGAAAAAGAAGTAATGATAGTGTGCAACAATCTTTTATATGAAATGAGAATGAAAAAAGACGGAGAGTTTAATTAACAGCACTATTTAAAGAGACAGCCTATTTCAAGAAGGAAAATTAAATTAATACGCTTCTGTGCCACAAAAGCTTATAAACGATTGCTGTTGCGAGTAAATGCGAAGTTCCGTGATAAAGAAAAATGTAAAGAATCATAAGTGAATGAGTAGTGCATAGGTGCAGCGCAGGGACAATATTTTTGATTATATTACGCAGTGGTAATCATCCCTTGGATCTCAGCGATTCCATTCTACCGTCTTTGCTAATAGTAGTGGCTCCTTTGCTGACAAGTTTAGAATAAAAATGAATTTTTTGATGTTTTCTTACATCGAATCGCAGCTTTCTAAAACAGATTGTCTACATGTGGCTAATGATTCAAAAGTGAAAAGATAAACCATTAACCTGTAAAGACGACAACGACTTGCTCTAGGTAAGTTAAATGGCCGTGCAACGCGAGCAATGCACGCTACTCCAGGAGCATTAGCAAGATACATCGACGGCGACAAGCGTTTTATCGGACGTACCATATACTGCAGCAGATATAGATAAATGATCAACATAATCATGAAAGGAACTCTAAAAATAAGTTTACATTTTTTGTGATTTAACTTTCGAAAACACTACCGGAGCTGTCCCGTCCAATACATCCCCTATCGTCATAAAAAGAGGAGTCGGATAAATCGAAACATTAAGTTCTTGAGAAAAAAAATACACGATCTGAAACTGGACATATCCGAAACCTCTCAATATAAAAACAAAGAAGAGAACTACAAAAAGTGACACGGGCAAGTATAAAATATTGATTCGCGGAGCATCTGGATAAGGTTAACTTACAATTCTCTCAGGAATTAGCAAATAAGCAAGGGAATCTTTTTTCGAAATGTTTTGTAGAAATATAAATCTTACTTCGGGAAGAATTAGCTAATGCGATTATTATTTTTCCGTAATACTATATCTCTCAACAGACCGGCCAATTTTTATTTAACACACACCATACATTTTTTTAGAAATCTCGTAGAAAGACATGACAACTATTTTACCTAAAAATTTTTAAACACGAGTTTGAATGAAAATGTGAATTGAGAAAAAAATAACCTGATATAAAATAGAAAGTTGTTCTGTATCTCTCATCAAGTAGATATCATCAGCCAGTTTCTCTGTTATACGTGCAGTAAATTTTCGCGCTAATTTAACTTCAAAAGGCGCAAACACAAAACTCATGTCATTTTTGGCTTCTTCCGCAACAACTGACGAGGAGACACTTTTCATAGCCATCTGCAACGTAATGTCAATCCCTAACATTATTATTTTCGACAAATCTTCAAGCGGAAAAAAAGTCAAATTACACGTGAACCTCAAGTATGCAATCGAAAGTGGTATTTATAGGTTGCAGTTTGTAAGCCGTTGAATTAGAGATAAAATAACCTATCATCCATCATAATTCTATGCGGGAAAAAGGATAAAACTGAGTTGATCAACTTCGATATTAGTTTCGAAATACTGAAAAGTCCCGTAAATTAGGCAATTATTTCCGCAGTAAATTCCCACTGTAAAGAGAAATCCGCACAGAAACCTTCCCAGAGATTCGGATACGAAAGTTACAAAAATCATACTCGAAAACAAAGAAAATACTATAAAGTGAAGCAATAATTTGTTACTCCGTTGTCATTATGCATTATGCAGCAGCACGAATCAAACAATGCTTATAGCAAGATTGGCGGCGCGAGAACACCGCGGACATACGGAAAATCGACCGATCAATAACCTGATGAAACATACAGTCTCAGTCACAACCATTCTCGAAGAATCTTACGTGCAAAATGAAAGCTCTTCACTGACGCGGCTCACAGCATATGTTAAAAAAGCAATGCGCAAAAATTGCGTCTATCATCGGGAAGGGAATAGGTGCCATTCTATTCTTTCAAAAGATTGCGTCAATTAAACGTAAAGAGGACGTGACGTGGATGGCGTAAAGACACGATGTAAACGCAGTCATCACGTACTATTACACTTTGATGTAACGAAGAGAACAGTCACAGTTTAAAGAGAAAGTACTATACTTTGAAATAGGTATACAGCATAGACCAGGTTTTCTCTTGAAGTTTATCTTTCCAGCTTCAGCCTAACTTCTCTCACGTAAATGTTATTCTTTTGTAAAGTGAAAATGCTTTTTGAATGGAAAATTGTAACGTCGAAGGATACAAAACACATTTCGCAATGTCTGGAAAAATCGAAGAAGAATGAAATTGATCTCTTTTTTTCTTCTTTTTTAGTGTTTAATTCAACCAATGACATTGATTTTAATGAATCAAGGTTTGAAAACAAAAATTTTCAGTAATTATTTGAATCAGAAATAAAGTGAAAGATGAATAACACTCGGGTCAATAATTCGTTATTATTTGTTTGATATTTTTTATAGGACATAAATTGGTCAATCGTTCAGATTTGCTAATATTTGATGACATTTCGCTTCCACTGGCTTCCAGAATCATTCCAAATATATGTTATCATTAATCATTTCCATTGAGAAAGGCGCCTCATTTAAAATTGGTGTCATTGTTTATTCGTGATTTCAGTTATACCGCTTTATGAATCATTTAGTTAAAACTTATCATGAAATACTTGACTTGCTGCAATAACAACTCTTCATGTCTTGTAAGGTAGTTGACACGATAGATTTAGAGACAGTGTAAAGAGCGTCAAAATTCTCATTTGAAAGTTATTCTTAGAAAATGGTGGTAAATCATCATCGAAATTTAGACTTTAAACAACACTACATCTATTTTCACACGCTAAATGCTTTACTTTACGATTGCTTCCACCGCAAAGTGTTAAGAATTGAAAATGCTTCCCTTTTGATTATTTCAAGAAAACTTCCAAACCTGTTGTGAAAATTTGATTATCTGAGTTGAATAGTTTCAGCAACAGTAAATCTGATATTTATTTGTGTAGGAGAGTGACCAAAGAACTTCTTTATTGACAGGATAATATGCAGATCTATTTAAACAATAATATCGACCAAGCCAATAGACTTTAAATTTGGTAATAAATGGACAGTTGGATTAAGAGCAGAGATGCCAGGAATATTTCTTATTAATAACGTTGATATAGCGTCCAATCCAAAAAAAAAGGGGATCCTTTTTTCTTTTTGGATAGGCTTATGTATGTTAAGAAGTGAGAGGCGGTGATATTAAACACCGGAAACTGTTGAGAGCCAAATTACAAAAACATGCCCATCGCAAAAAGATCCAATGAGAAGAACAGATGTGTATTTAGTTAGATAATTTAAGCAATTGTTAACAAAGACATTTCTAAATAAAGACATGTGCTTAGACATAAAGGAAAAAACATGGGAATTGAAACGGGAAATAAATCTAAGGAATGTAAATTGAAACAAATATGTGAGATAAATGGCAAACCATAAATCATGGAAAATATTCCTAATTTTATTTGTATAATTATGAAATTTATTTTAGTTTTTCGCGACTTTCGCGACAAAAATGTTTATCTTGCTCGATTGAGTATTTCTTCATAAGCGTTTTTGTTTTCAGAAGCGCCTTTGTCCTCACAAGCACTTTTGCCTTCACAAGCGCCTTTGCTTTCACAGGCGCTTTTGGCTTCATAAGAGCCTTCATCTTCACAAGCGCCTTTTAGTTCGATATTTTTCTATTAACTATACCATAAGAAGTTTATCAATGGACGGAATCATGTGTTTATGTGATGCATTGTTGAAACAGCTGAATGAATAGATATGGTTGTGAAGAAGTTAATTAACCATTCCGGATTATTATAGAATTCGATTTAGAGAAGAAAATTGAAGCGGAGGGAAAATTTGACATAGACCGCATAAACTTTTTGCTAAATTGAAGGGCGTAAAGTGCTGAAAAAATTTTGAGCGACAGGTGTCAACGAACACATTTGTGCATTCTCCACTATAGAGATGTATTGGCATATCTGTGACAAATCTTTGGATTATTCTAATTCAATTCTAATAAATTATGTTTTCCGTCCATTTCTCTTCATTCATTGGATAGATAATATTTTCAATGATCACAATCACATCACATTCATTTCTTGCATTCATTTCTTAATCAATGATTAAACGAAAGTGTGAAAGAAAGTTTTTTGTAAACTGCTAAAGAGATAACCAATCGGTGGATGCTTATGTATGCGTATTATTATCATTACTTCATGATTATCCACTTCCGCCCGGGATTTCCTATTGCAATGCAACAATCAGCAAGTTATATGTTGATATCCCAACTCTAATTAAAATATCAATTCATTTGAATGTGGAATTGTTTAAGTTGATATCATGACAAAGTAATGTTTGTCTGCGATAAATTTTGTAAGAGTTCAACATTCGAGCTTGAATTTAACTCAGGAAACTGTAATGCGAATGGATCTGAGAAATTTGAAATTGTTTGAACAGAAGGTAAAATTGGTGACGTTTTTAGTGTGAAATTCATCGCTGTCATATTGGAAGCCTGAAAAGTGTGTCAAATGAAAAACATTTGTAGAAAAGTAGAAGGAAAAGAAAGAAATCATTCACAAAAAGGTCAGTCATAACGAAAGACCTGTTAATGTAATTTTCCCATTTGACTGGTTTGAAACATTTCC